TCTTTTTGTTCTGTGAAAGAGTGTAAGGATGACAATGACTAAGGGTGGAATTCATTGAGAATGATGCTGGCCACAAAAATCCATCTCAGTGCAAGTTCAAAGACTGTGATATTCTCAGCATTGGCATAGAGAATTAGGGATTAAGATTTTTTTCCTTCTAATCTCTAAGCAAAAAATAATTTTCTTCAGATTTGTGGACACATTTTTCTGCTCAGTTATTTTGTACTTAGTCTGTATAAATCTTGTTTACTAATTTAAATACATTAGAGGTGCAGTTTAAAAAATTAATTTGTGTATGTTTCGTCACAAAAGCCAGGGAAGGTAACACTTCCCTGGAGAAGGTATATAGTAAGTCAATAAAGTACAAGTAACTTGATTGCATCTGTCAAATACACAGTTATTTAGATGTTCAAGTGCACACTCACTTAATATATTTATGTTTTTATTCTTTGAGAAAACAAAAAGAACTAAAATATTATTACCCTTATGCAAATGAGATACATTTATCCTCAGCCTTTGAAATTAATACTCACCATCTTTAAAAGTAAATTATTATTTTACAATTCTTAAATTATATTTAAAGAGGGAAGGAAAGTGATACCTCTGTTTTTCTTTCAGTAGTTTTTAATGGCATCAGTAGTTGTTATAAGATGTTACACCTTGACTATCACTATTGTTCCAAGATCCCTAACTTTACAGAAAACTAGAAATAGCAAGAATGGAGTGTGAATTTCTCCATTCATTTCAGTTATGCATTAAGTTAAATGTTTAAAATTACCTTTTAAAAACTAGTACTGATAATTACGGGATGAACATGTCTCACAGTTTTTTCCAAATTAAATCTAATTGCTGGAGATCTGGGTAGATAAAATAAAGAATGGTGTTAAAGCATGTGGAAGATTTGTTCAAGGAACATTTTGCAGGAGCTATTGGAGAGATCATAACTGCATCCATTGAGCTTGAAGATAGCTTTCTTCAGCTGGGAAATGTTACATCAGGTAATGTATAAAAGACTATGAGATCCTGAACTTTATCAAAGTATAGCTTTTACATTTGCGAGGTAACTAAGATCTTCACTGGAATCTGTCAGGCAGTGATGCATTGAACCGTACACATAAACAAAACCAAACTATCCTCTGTCTCTATATCCACAAATTTCCTTTTCCTTTGTGAACCAGTGCTGTAGTCCCAGACTTAATTAAAACAGTGATTAAAGTATGTGCAGCTGCACACTCAAACATAACCCATACCCACACTCCTTAACAACAGAAGTGCATGCCTGTCATATTTTTGTAAACCTGTTGCTTTCCCTTAGAAGCAGGCAAGCCATTGTTTCATCTTAAAGATGGTCACAGACTGGGATGAAACATTGTGTTTTGGGTCAAGAAGAGAGTGATTAGGTGTTTCTAAAAGTATGGAGCACACAGCTGTTTCCAAAGGAACACAGTATTGTTCTCATCCTTGAGCACACTGTTGCCACTGTCCAAAATCGTGACAGGAGTTTTCAGTGTTGTGCAGTGTTGTGCAGTGTAGTACTTATGCTGTGAGTGTGATTGATTGCTATTTGCAATGCCAGGAGGGTTTTTTTTTAATGTTTCCTGTATGTATGCTAATGGTTGTCTCCAAGCTACGTCATTGGCTTAGTGAAGATCCTGTCTTGGTGCAGAAATGAGACATACCATGTCTGCCTTTCTCATACACTGGCAGAAGTGGGAATTGTGTCAATAATTTCAGAGGGTAGGGAATTAGGACCTGTAGAACGACGTAAGTTTTGTAGAATACTAAATAAAGGTCCTTAACAAGACAAAATAACTATTCTCCTATTTCTTTCACTACTTTTCTGCTTCCTTTACCTTTGCTCTCAGCTTTTATCTTCTTATTTTCATAATCACAAGAAGCCAAATTAATGTTGACTGTAAGACTGCAAAACCAGCTTTGAATTTCTTTGTCTGTTCTGACTCTATACTTTGGGCCCAGCAATGAGAACCCGAGACTAGCTAGCTCTTACCAGCTGTGGTGTTGCATAGCTCATTAGTTTGGTAGATGCATCTCCCACTCAGCCTCAAATGTTGGCACATTTTAGACACCTCTACTTCTATAATGGTAAGTATCTGCTCATTCACATGGGTCACTTAATTTTCTTTTTTGCATTAGGTATGCTATAGGTCATGTGCTTTGTTTCCAATAAAAACCACATACCCCCTTTGAAGAAACTATAAAATCAAGTCCTGAGAAATTAGAGGAGGGAATGTACCCAGAAGAAGAGGTTAAAAACCAATGCTCCACTCAGGGGAGTAAAGCAATAAAAGGAGGGGGCACAGCTGGCAAAACTGTTGCAAGAAAAGAAGAGGCATATAAAAAATTAATCTCCAGAGTATAGGAGTACAATTGAGGAATGAAAGTAGTTTCAAAGTGGCTGAAAAAAAAGGGAGAGAGAAGTTATAATAATAAAATGGTAAATCCACACGGGCATAGTAGAAGATCACAGTCAAGATCAATGAAAACAAACAATAAGCAGAAAAAGCATAATACACAAAACATTCCTATCTGTAAGCCAGAACAAACAATTAGGATAATGACTTGACATGCTTTTCACATTTTTGAAAGAAAGAAAATAGCAACAGAAATAGTGAAGGGAACAATTTTAGAAACTGATAGTGGGAATGAAAGTCTTCTATTAAACAGTTTCCCTCTAATATTTCAAAGTTTTGTTCTTCTAAGTATAAGCCAAGCAATGTAAATTTTCCTTCAAATCAGAACGAGCTTTTTTTTTCATTTATATGTCTTTGAGTTGTATATGTAGCATACAATGGCTTAATATTAACTAGTAATCTGTATCTGTGGATTTTAATTCCTTAGTTCTTTAGTAGCCAGGTAGGTTTCAATGCAGTATCTTATACTGCATTGAAATATATAATATATATAATATAATAGCTTAGACAGAAATGTGGCAACTCCATGCACCACTGCTCTAGCAAGGGTGGAATAAAGTCTGTGGAGTCCCAGGCTTGTACTGATGACAGAGCCTTGTATTGACAACCTCAGCATGAGTTTGTATTTCTGGAGCAGAGCAATCTGATTTTGCAACCTTGCTATTGTCCCCAGTATGTTTTTGTATACGTGATAGCAACAAACTGTAGGATTGCAACATCCAGGTCACTCACCTGTCCTCATCCAAGGAGCAGGGAAATCTCTTTATGCTGGAAAGCAGAAAAACACTTGGCAAAACATTCAGCTCCACTGCTTGCATTTCAGAGTCTTTGATGATGTGTATGCCTAAATTCACATTACGGTCACTGGAGCCTCCTCAGCTCACCTTGCGCATTTATTTTCAGAAGATCTGAACAGCTCTCTAGACAAAGTCTAGACCATAAGCTTGGCTGCCTAAGACCTCAGCTGACTGCAGCAGGAGTCCAAACACCTTGCTGATGTATGGCCATCCGTGTGTAGGAGCCTGGCCTTGCAGGCTGACACCCTGCAGACTATCACACCTCTCTTCAAGTGCCAGCACCTGGCAGCAGGCTGGGTGGGCACACATCAGGCCTGGCAGCTTGGGCTCCAGATGCCCCCTCAGCCCTGCCACCACAGCCCTGCCAGCACTGGAAGGCTGCACAGTCCTGACCAGCAGGCTGATGAGCTTGGTGGAGTTCATTCTTTTGCTGGGATCAAGTGTATGAGGTCTTTTGGCCAATGAGTGCAGCAGGTACCATTTCACCCAGGGCTCCAGATGTTTTCCCTGCTGAGGGCAAACTCACTGTGTTCATAAACACTGCACACAAAACATTCCACTATCATTCAGTAGCTCCTCATAATTTCTGCCAAAAAAATAAGCTATAGACCATTGGGGGAAAAAAAGTTGGTAATTTGTTCTTATAGGGACTAATTATACAATCCATGACTCTGTTATTTAATATGCTAATAACTTTGAGTCTTTTGGCAATGTTCCCTCCTGCATTTCCTGAATGTGTCCCTATAAACAAATTTTCTGGAAGGGTGAGGGCTGATACACGGAGTTTGAGACTTAGTTTATAGGGAGGAAATAATTTTTGTGTTTATGATAGCATTTATTTGCTGCTGTATCTAGCAGAAGCCCTGTCATAAAAGATATTGTCTAGTTTATAAAGCAAAAAAAAAAAAAAAAAAAAAAAAAAAAAAAAAAAAAAAAAAAAGAATACTGCAGGTCAAGTTCCTGTTTTCATATTAAATCCTTACCAAATTAAAAAGAGAGAGAGACAGAAAAATATGTTATTGAGAAATGCTAAGTCCTGGAATTTTCCCTGTCAAGCTGACCTAATGCAGACAGTACTGACTAAAGAAAGAGTAGATTTTTTTTTTTTTGTGCTTGCAATTTAAATAGGATGAGGTTAATATTTTCTTTCCAAATATAATCTCTTTCTACAGTGATAGGGTATTGTGTTTCTAATTTTATTCATAGAGATTGGTGGGTTGGATCACTAAAACTGAGATTTGGGTTAGAGTGTGGATTTATATCCCTGCTCTTCCCTGTAAAGACTGGGACTGTTTGTGTCTGGACTCATCTTTTCAATTAATTTGAGGTAATTAAAGGGTGCTGTGTGGGATGGGGCTAAAGAGAAACACAATTAAAATTTAATGTTTCCACTTTGGTATCTGCATCCTTATTTATTTTAAATCATCTTCAATGCTCTGATGAGTTTAAGTCTTCCTGTGTCATATAGTGTGCAAGCAGAAATATTTGAGTGAACTGTTGCCAATGGCTCTGAGCGAGCATGGGGCATGTTTCACATTACACTGTGGTTTCTTGTTCAGATCTGATCTCCTTGCTAGGAGAGGCTGAGAAAGGCAGCTCTAGGGGATTTACTTCCAGCAGCAGCAGCAGCAGCAGCAGCACATGATCCATCAATCGCGTGATTCTCACCACCGAGGACTAATGGGGAGGGTGAAGAAAAAGTGAATGCTGCCTTGGGGAAGCAACAGCGTTTTCTTCTGCTCGTGGGGCCTCTCCACCAGTCAGACGTTTCATGGCTTCTCCAAGGTTAGAAACCTACTGCTGCCCAAACCGGGATGCAGCTACACAGCTGGTGATGAACTTCCAGCCTGAAGTCTTCTGTGGAGTCTGCATTGGCAGTGCCTCCATCAGCCTGCTATTGACCATCCTGCAGCTTCTGCCAAAGAAGGGACAAAGCCCACGGAAGTTGCCCAAAGCCTCCTCCTCCTCCACCATCCTTCTCTTTATCTCTATTTGTGACATCCTTGGAGGCTTAGGTAAGTGTGATCTTTATGTCCTTGCCATTGCTGTAACAGGTTCTTTTTGCTCTGAGGTACAGACAAATGAAGCTGGTGAGTGGACAGCAGAGATGTCTGAGGGAAGCATGCTGTTTGTGTTCACAGGAAGATTTGGACTAAGTAAGATCGGGAAATTATGGGTCTTTGGGGAGAAGGCTCTTGTTTAATAGTTATACAGTGGAAGTGAAAGCTCTTGACAAATCTGCACCAAAATCTCTGCTTTAAACCAAATTAAAATCTAGAATGGCAATGCTTCTCAGAGTAAGGCATAAAAGTGGAGGTGAGGCAGCACATTGGAAAATAAATCTGACATCAAATATTTAGCCAATCCATAGAACTGCATTTGAAAACCACTGTCCTCTATACCCTCAAATCCTTTTGGACCAACTATGCCTCCTGCTCATGTGCCAGCTGCTTCTCTGGGCACATCACATAGTCAGAAAATGAGTTTGACTTGCAGCTGCACACAGATCATGCTGGACACAGGCTTTTGAAATGTGAGTAAAGCTACCTTATCAAGGACAAGCTGCTGCCCAGACCCTAGCGGACAGTCTGGAGGAATAAACCAGTGGAGACTAAAACAGTATGCATGAGTCAAAGTGAAACTAGTATGTCTTCAGTTGTCCCATCAGCCATTTGGTAATTCTTCCCATCAGTCATTTACTGTCAAATTTGGTATAAATTCTCATGACATGTGCTATGAAAATACAGGACAAGTTTGCTTCTACAGTAGCATTTCGCACCCCCCCCCTCCCCCAAATAGGTAATAGAAGAAGGGCTGTTTTGTCTCACTGCTGGGGGCTGTGAGTGAGTCTGTGTGTCTGTGTGTCTTTGTGCTTCATTTCTCTTCCCTTTTCACACCCAGCCAGGTTCTCTCACAGTACCTAATAAGTACCAATACTAAAACAAAGATTATAAAGGAAGTAAAGCAAGAGATATGGAAAATATATATGTGCATGCACTTGGAAAAGGTCCTTTCAGTCAGATGAAGCCAACAATAAAGTTATTTTACTCCCTTCCTCTTTCACTGGCAAACTCAAACTAGTTATCCATTGTTTATGTATTAGACTCACTTCGGTGAGTAGAAAACAGTTCATTCTTGGTGGGAAACCTGGCCATTTTGTTCTCTTTCCTGTTGGTGCTTTATTTCAACAAACCCAGAAAACCCCACGAACAAACTCTAAGTTAATTTTTAAAAAGGGCATTGTTGTTACCTAATTCAGAAGTGCTGCTTTTGCTCAGTCCTGTGACAGAGGAAAAGGGCAGCCTGTAAAATGAAGGCAGAGAAAAGTGAAAAATAACTCTTTTTCTGCAATGGGGGATTTTATAGAGAGGTGAATATCAGTGTATGAACTTATGCTGGTAAACAGTTATTTAGTGTTTCATGTCAATCTGTTAAATGCTACCCAATTTATGTTGGGAAGCATGTGACAGCATCTCTAAATAAGATCCTTAGCTATGTAGTGTTTTAAGTCCCAGCAGCTTCTGACTCTTGGGGCTACTTTCCCTGAATGATCGCACTGACATTTAAATAGCACAATTGTCCCTGCTGTGCTCCTCTGCAGCCATCGCCTTCCTGCAGACACACAAAATCTGGGCTGCGATGTGAAATATGTGGCAGGGAAAAGCATGTGACTCAAATCACACCAGCAGATTCAAAGCATTAATGCATTTTTTTCTTTAGGTATGATCTTCAGGTCAAGTGTATGGCTGGGCTTCCCTGCCTTCATAGCTAACATTTCTGTGGTGAATGGGACTGACGTGTGGCCTTCCACTTTCTGTGTGGGGAGCGCGGTAGGTACCGAGATCATCCCCCCTTTCTTCTGCTCCCAGTTAAGAGTCCTTCCACAGGGGGAATCTGAAAGGAAAACTGCTGTGTCCAAAAGGAAATGTGGCTGTGAGTCAGTGCCTGAATATGATGGTTTCAGCCTCTGCCACACCCCTGCAAGTGCGTTCATGCCTCCCTCTGTGAGCCTGGTCAGGGCGGGCAGGGTGCTGGTGGTGCTGGATGGTGGTGGGGATGTAGGGCAGCTGGGTCAGGCTGATCCTGGGAGTTCTGTGGTATTCACTCCTCGCAGGAGTGCCAGGGGAGTGGAGTACACCAAAGTCAGGGACATGGAACCAAAAGCATATAAGCAACCCCAAAAGGGCTGTGAACCATTGTTTGAGTTTCTGCTAGCACAGCAGCACAAATGCCCCAGTGGCTCCATTGCACTGGCAGCGTGAGGTTATCTGTCTTCTGTGGCAGGAACTGCAGCCTCTGTGGTGGCAGCAAGGACCTCCTGAAACTTGGGGTAGCTCAAATTAGCTTTTGTGGCACGAGACTGTGTGTTTTAGACACAGAGGGACAACAGGAGAAATATACTCATAGCCACAAATCTGCTGGCAGAAGGTCTGTCCCTGCCATGTGGGATTTCAGCTCAAATTGCTGGGCTGCATCGCGACAACTGCACCTGGCCAAGTCTAATTGAGTATCATCTGGATTAAAATGCAAGAATAAGAAAATGTAAATGCATTCCAAAAGTACACATTGAAACTCAGATCCAAATTTTATAATCAAAACACTGGGAAATATAATTTGAGCTTACTGTACAAGAATAAAGGTCATGGTTTTCACCAAAACTTTGAGAATGACAAGACCATCACTTTACCCAGATTCAATAGGAATGTGGGATTGCCAATGAATTAATGCATGAGCAATAGCAGTATTTGCTTTGCAATTCAAAGTTTACAATGTAGCAGGGGATAGGTTGTATGTCAAAATTATTCAGCTCCACTAGTTTTAAAATAAAGCAATATGTGCCAAATTGAACTCACTGTGCTTTATATGCCTATATAAAAGCAGTTACAAACAGGATAGTTTTGTGCCATGGACACAAATATAAATTGTATACATCTATCAATGCTTAATTCTTTCACACCTCTTTAAGTTTTGCTTATTAGATGCAAATGCTGTTGGTTTTTTTTTGTTGACAAAGAACCAAAAATCTCAATATCTTGCAGCAAGAATGTTCTGCTGAAAACCCTCTCCTTCTCATATTTCACTTTCTGGCCCATAACACATAAAAATGTATTTTTAAACATGACAGGGTACAGGATGCAGACTGTTTGTTTTTCATTTGAATTTCAGGTTAGATGGTGAGCAGCCTAGCGGTCTACCACAATTTTTATTTTCCCTTACTTGTGCTCCAGGAAAATGCTGTAATTTGAGTAATTTTAAATTTAGATTCAACTATATTGGAATGAAAAATAACCCTTCTTTCATTCATTTCCCCTAACGTATTCTCATGTGAGTTAATAAAATGTTTCCGATTCTATTTTATTTTTCTTTTAGTACTATTGTTTTATTTCTCTTAACCACAAACCTATACAAACTCCAAATAGTGAAACTTTAGGATATCTCCCTTGAATGGTTTGCAGAGTGCCTTTTCAGACACTGCAGCAAGATGTTTTGCTAAAAAGTAAGATATCATATGAAGCTTTAGGGTTTAAGTACATCTGCTTTATATTATTTTTGGAGACAGTTTTATCTGTGTTGGATTTTCTGGAAAGATGCTGCAGTTTATTTTTGTATATGTGTGTTTATGGGTAGTAAATTGTGCATTTTTCAACTGCAGCAAACACGTAAATGTGATGATGAAGTTACATGCTGAGTGCTATGGGTAAAGTGCATTAGAAGGAAGACTGGGATTTTATTTTCTGCCTCCTGTGCTCTAGGAAAATACCATGATGTTTGAATTAAATACTGAATAATTCATGCCACAAATTACTAGAGGTAGGGTCTACACCCATGGTGAAAGGAAATATTTCCCAGCTTGATTTGCCTTTTGGAGGAAGGACTGCTAGATCTCTATTCACCAACGTTTGGCTCAGTAACAAGTATGTTGATTTCCAGATGTAAAACGATGCTACTATGGAGCTGTGATAAAGGATATTCAGATAAGAACTGAAAGATGGCTTGGAGGAAAGATAGCATGAATATTAAAACACTCCCAGACTATTACAAAGAGCTAGCTCCTATGGGGAAGAAATGTGGAATTTATATACAGTGGCAAAGAAAGGTCACTTTTCTTATGTAAGCCCATGGGAAAAATGCATAGGGTCAACTCAAGAATGCTGTGGAATATTTAGCTTGACTTGAACCTGTTTCCTTTGGATTTTTATTGAAGAAAGCACTTAGGGAGTTCAGTAGGTGTATTCTTCCAGATCATGAGTGGTTTTCTCATTAATGAGTTTTTTTCTTGATAAGCATCTTTTGCATGGAGAAAACACCCATCACATGCAGAACCTACAAATGCATAGGCACACTGTGGTTATGACTGACCTCAGATATATTTTTATGCCTCAGCCACTGAGAAACAACTGCAATTTTAACCTAAAATTAAAACATCCTTGCTATAAATTTCTTTGGGCTTCACTTACCATGTTCAGGTTAGGAACAGAGTGATAAATTACAGGTTTTCTAAATCAGAAAATGAGCTGTGAAAAAAAATGCTGTTCAATTTACCTATGACTTGACCCATAGGCTACAACAATGTTCCTGTGATTTTGAGTAAGATTTCATACTTCAAAATCTCATCTGGAAAATACACAAATTAAAAGAATAAATCACCAGGCCAAAAGTTTGAGTCCTTTCCCTGCCCCAGTGGTACTGGAGAAGCAGCTGTGATGTTTGGCACTTCTTTCCCCTCTAGATGTGGATCCAGTTGTTATATAGTGCTGGCTTCTGGTGGTTGTTTTGCTATGCTGTTGATTCTTACTTGGTGGTGAGAAGATCAGCTGGACTGAGGTACCAGAGTTAAAGCTCTGAATTTGTTTTTTTCCCTCCAACACTGTATGTCTCTGTTTGCAGCTACCTAAGAGTATGAGTGAGTCTTGTGCAACCATCTGACTCTCATATAGTTACCAGGTAATGATAGGGATGTGGTGTTCTAAGTGCTTAAATTGCCAGGGCAATGCTCAGATGCTGATTTATGTACAACTTAAACTTAAATGTAACTGAATTCATTTAACCTGTGGAAAAATATGGAGCAAATTGTGGTCTATAAACTTTATGGCAATGAGGTGACTATTTTTGTCCCTACTCTGCATCTGAAATTGATTTTTGCAGCAAAAATATAGTGTTGTACTGAAAATGAAAATTTGGAGGGAGAAAGTGCTGGACTTCATCCTGTTAATTTCATATGGTTAATTCTGTTTTTTTTTCTTTTTTTTCTGATATTTTATTTTAGCAATTTTTCAGCGAGTGTCGTCATTATTGCCCTTCTGATCACACTTCTAAAGTCCCTCATAAGAAAAATATGTATTTATCATATATTCTTCTGCAATGCCTGTAACAGAAGAACCTAAACTCTTTGGAAAGTACCATGCTTTAATGCAAGACAGAAAAAAATGTTTCTAAGTGGGTTGTTAGAAGAGCAAAATAACCTTCAGTTGCTTCTGATAAAAGTGGAATTACATGAATCTGTTCTCAGATGATACAGAGGAGTCAGATACTAAGGATATGGTTCTCTGCAGGTGTAACCAAAATGAGGTTTTTTGAGTTAACTTTACAAAATCAGGTTTATTCTCAACTGTCTAAAGTCCCAAAGTTCTAGTCAAACAGCTGGGACCTGCCTCCTTCCTCCATCCCTGTTAACCAAAAAATCATGTGTATTTGGGTTTGATTCTGGGATCAGAGTAAGCATCAAAAGACTTTCTACAAACACAGATCTGAATCTTCCTAAGATGGGAGCAGTATCCAGCTCTGAATGTTAAATATTATTTTCTACATATCACAAAAGGATGGAGGTGAGGATGCTCATCTCCATTCTTAAATTTTAATCTGCTAATTTGCTCTCTGCAGGAGAAATGAAAGATGCAGGGTTCTTTCTCAATAGTAAGGGTAGGGAAGAAGCCTTGTCCCCTCCACCCTACAGGCTGGAAGGGACAGGACTTCCACATGCAAGCCTGAATAACTGCTTTGGCTTATTCTTCTGAAGGACTGCCCCCACCCACCTGCTTTCTTTAATTTAATGTATTGCCAGCGTTGTTCTGCACAATTTCCTGTCTGTAAAAATCTTTTTCAGTGAGGATCCTATTTTTAGCTTGCAATGTGGGAAACGTGAGTTTGGATATCTTTAATTGTGCCTGTCGTGTTTGGTGCTTGCAGTACGATTGTGCTGTACCACATGATGACGTGGGGCCTTGCAGTGATGCTCTGTGTGGAGGGGATTGCTCTGCTTTACTACCCCTCTCTCTCCAGGTAAGCAGGCTCTGGAAACAGACTGTGAAATTGGGGCTTTCTCTGGGCATTTGAGTGTCTTTTGGTCAGCTTTAGAGACAGACATTCAAAAGCTGAGCATTTTGATCTCTGCCAAGGATGTCCCACTGAGTCAGTGTTTATGCTTAAAATACCTGCCTGGGCTTCAGAGGGCCCTGAAGAAATATGCCAGGCAGTACAGGCACTTGGGCATGCTGTGATAAAGCTTCTATGAGACACACTTTTCCTATTCCTGATTTTAGCTTTCTTTTCAATTTGAGAAAAATCCACATATACTGCATGTTTAAAATCAACTTTATGTCCTATGTGAACTGATGGTAAAGGTCCATAAATTAAAATTTTGCATTTGTTTGCTTAATCCCCCCCTTTTTTTTTTCTTTTTAAGTTAAAGGTGACATGCATAGACCAGCCAGAGAAGTGAGCTGTGGAGAATAAAATACATAATCTTTTAATTATTTCTTCTCAGTTGTGAAAATGGCTTGGAACATGCAATCCCACATTACATCACAACCTATGCCCCACTCCTGCTAGTGCTTGTGGCCAACCCAATCCTGTTTAGAAGGACAGTATCAGCAGGTATGTTCCTAATGGCCAGCATCAATCAGTCTCTGTTATTTAGCAACATAGTACTGTAGAAAGTCATGGCTTTGTACTCAGTGATGTGGGACAGCTCCTTGTTAAATCATAAAGATATAGCACAGGGTGGGAAGCAGTTGCCTACGGAGATGAAGACTCCATTTTGATGGGGAATTTGCCCTAGAGACACACAAGATATTCTCTTACTAGCCTCTAACTGCAGGTGGGCAAACATGTTTCCATGTTACTTAATTTAAAGCTTTTGAGGCAATGTACCCTGGATGCTTAACTCTACTGTAGTTTTGGTACCAACCTCGACTTTGAAATGTAATTAATTCTAGCTGGTGAGATCTGAGAGTTTATCTAACTTCTTGGCAGCCCTAGAGCAAAAAATGTAATAAAATGTGATCAGAATTTTGTCACTTCTGAGATTATGAAACAAATGGGAATTGTACACAACTCAGATGGGATCTTGATGTTCCAGTTCAATTTATTACCTACTGCTTGGAAGAAGTGAGGCTGGAAAAAAGCCACAGATTCAAGGCATTCTTTGCATGTAATATGATCATTGCTAGATGTTTGCAGTACCTGAATTCATCTACACATTGATTATACAAAAAAGCTGGAGAAAATCAAGTATTCTCAGTTTAATCTTTATCCCATTCATTCTGTCCCTCAGCCATACTCATTTTCAATAAAACAGTTGTTCTTTTAAGAAGTTGTTCCCATAAAAAAATTGTTCTTTGTATATTTGTGTTTGCATTTGTATATTCCTTGTGATATCTGAACAGCATGTGGCATAATTTTTTTTTGCTGACAATCTGTCTTCATATTTTAGAGGTGTAGCTAATGTTGTATCAATGACACAATGAAAAATGGTGTGCAAAATAAGATAGAAGATTCTATTTAAACATCACATGATAATTATATCACATTATATAGAAGGTACATGCTACCTTTTGTTATTAAATAGAATTACGTTGATCATACTATTTCATATGTTCAGTGGGATTGAGAGAAAAAAAAAATAGTGGGATATCTTTCATTTTAGGAATCCAGCTGCGTGTAATTATTTTCCTTTAGTATTAGGCTGTATGTGAGATTCCTTGAAAATGGTCCTTCCAGCTTCTGAACAGCTGCTGGAGACAAATCCATTCATTCCTTTGTTCCCTCTTTCAGGCCTCTATCTTCTGGATTTTTGTGCCTACTCTAACAAGATGTGCATATATTAATGAACATAATTGTATACTTTTCAGTTGCCTCTTTACTGAAAGGGAGACAAGGAATTTACACAGAGAATGAAAGACGTCTGGGGACAGAGATCCAGATGCGCTTCTTCAAAATTATGCTGGTATTCGTTATTTGGTAAGAGGTGCATTATTTTGTTTAAAGTGCCTTTTTCCCAGAGGGAGAGAGTCAGGAGCAGGAGTAAAGATGGATGGGTGGCTTCATTTGTTTGTCTTTATGCTTAGAAGGGAAGGTATCTAAGGAAAAAGCAGTTCTAAACTAGTTCACAAAGGTGCTGAATCACTCACTGGCTGTAAGGAAATGATAAAATGTTTAACCAACAGAAAAGCAAAAGCAGCAAGAAACAATAGCAAAAATTTCCCAATAGGTTGGGCATTGACTGAAGCTGTCTGGTAGAGCAGGCTCGCAGCTCTGTGGGCTGACAGATGACTTTCTGTAATCAACATTTCTCAGAGCCTCTTGGCACCAAACACATCACTGAGGACCTGCAATAAAAATGCTTCTAAGTCTGGCTTCATGGCTTTGACCATGATCACACAATGCAGCCACCTCTGGGCTCTGCCATCTTCAAATGCCTGAAAAACACATGGATATTGACTGGAAAATAAGGACAGGCCAGAAAATACAACTCCATATATATTTTTTTAATAAATATTTTGTCTTTCCCCATGACAATAGTACGTTGGCATAGGACAGAAAAGAGATAGGGAGGAGGAGAATAGGACAACAAGAAATGGTTCTGGAGTGGTGAAATGAGAAGGCTAAACTTAACACTCTTTAGATCCCACTTAACTTCTTTATACACAGGTGTATTAATTCATATTACATTGCTTTAACAGGCTGAGCAGGAAGAAAGGCTGCCTCTTGTATCTTCTCTTGGCTGCTGTCTACTGGAGTGCTCTGAAAGGAAATTATTTTCTTTTTGGGGGGAATAACAGTCCTCTTGGCTTGGAAGTGAAGTTTCCAACGTGAAGGGTGGGGTAGCCAGTAGAGGAGGGAGTGAGAGACAGCAGCAAGGGATCCTTCAGCATGGCTTCCTGGAAATTGCTGAAATAATAAGGAGCAGAGATTCAGCCAAGCTTCCAGGGCTGTGGAAAGAAAGAGCCCAGAGGCACCACAGAGTGCATTGCAACCTAAGGAATGGTGGCCAGCTTGATTATCTGGGAAAAAGCATGAAAGGAAAGGCCAATTTCCCATGGACATTGTGGGGACATTTGTTTATTTCCATTCTGTCTCATTCCGGGCTTTCCTAATAAAAATATAAAATCACAGCTCTGGTTTAGGATTTTGCTCTAATAAAACATAAGCTCTGGAGAGTAAAAACTTTCTCAAAGGTTACTGGAGGGAAAGACTGAGGCAGTCTCATCTTAGAAGCATAGGGAAGATTTCCTTCCATCCCAGAAGTCAAATGTGGAACGCTTCAGTCAAAGACAGCAGGTTGGGGCAAAATAGGATAGAAGAGATGCCTACAGATTTGGGAGGGGAGAGCAGGAGGTTTTACGTTGTGATAAAGATATCATTGTGCAGAGGACAAATATAAAACCCCTTAGAAAGTATGACATGAATGCTGATAGTTTCTTTTCTGAAGATGCAGTACAGCTATAGAGAAATGCTTCTCTCACTGTTTAGATGTCATAGGAACTTACAGTCATTTGCTATAACTCTTATTTAGTGTAGAACATACTCAGTTTCTTTCAATGAATGAGGCTTGATTATGCTCATCCTTATTTGGAAACAGATATTACCTTTATTAAAAATAATTGTTAACATTTTGAAGGATTTAAAAGTCAACTTTTGTGTTGCTTTTTGGTGTTTTTTAATGGACATTCTGAAAGTCTTTAATCTGACCCTGAAATTCTAACTTCAGATGGAAATCCTGCAGCCTTTTACAACAACATGTGCATATATCTGAGTTCCTTGTCTGTGAGCACAACTCTTCTAAGGCACAAGGGAAAGAAGTCAGCATGCATGATATTCCCATTATAGATCACATTTCCTTCTCATCTCAGTTTTATTCTGAAATTTACTGTTCTGCAGCAAGTTAAAATTCTCAGATTTTTTTTCTAATATTGATTTATATTCTCTAGGCTTGGGTGAGTAGGTAGGTGTCTGGCCCTTGATTGTTATTTCACAGATCTACAGGTCCCTTCAGATTGAGATTTAGCAAAAAATCCAATCATCTTGGACTTGATTATCCTAGAGTTCTTTTCTACCCTTAATGATTCTATGATTGAAAAAAATCTTACTGCCTTTCAAGTTTTAATTTCTATGTTTTGAAAGCAAAGCATATTTTACATGCACATCCATATGTAACTGTCCTTTTCTTCTTTGCTCCTGCTGCAGCTGGTCATCCAATATTATCAACGAGACCCTTTTGTTCTATCTTGAAATGCAGCCAGATATCAATGAAATGCCTCTGAAAAACATCAGAAGTGCTGCACTGATCACCTGGATTATAATGGTGGGTCAGCTGTGACATTACTTGGGCTTAGAAATCACTGTTGTAAGACTGCTGGAACAACACCTATAGTGTGGGGTTTATGAATTTGAGGGATATAAACACTCTGAAAATCAAGGAAGAAAAGCAGAAAATAAGAGAAAGGAATGAGCAGTCAGTGGGAGTGCTTTTCACATGTAAACTTTGCAAAAAATGTCTTTGAGACCAACTTTTTCTCCCATTTATTGGAGTATGTATTCTCTCTGTAAAAGATCACTCTCATTTCAAGACCCACAACAGATAATTACAATGATTTCTAGCCTCACCTTGCTAAACTCTGCCATAATGCAAGCTTCAAAGTTTTAGCTCACAGTTCCTGAAGGCTTCCCAATTAAATGGGCATTTCATGGGAATTCTCTGTTTGCAACTAGGGTGGGTTTTTTTTATTATTATAAAGAATGATTGCATCTTATGTCATGACATTTGGATCATTATTTGGGAACAAATAGGAGAAAAGTCTTTCACACATGGCATCAAAAATAGCTGTAAGATGCTGGTCTCTTACTGTAGCCTCTTTTCTCCTATTAGAATATTTGACAAAGGATTTTTCAAAGGTAACAGTGCAGGTTCATTTTCCTGGAGAATTTATTCTGGAGTTGTTAAATAGGTGCAAGGCCTGAGTATGATTTATACATTTGAGCAGTTTGGTATTGAAGGATTAAGTGATGCAACGGATGTGATATGTAGTATCCCATGAACTCTCCCACCTCGGTCAATTCCCACATCCTCAGCCCTGGCAATGGCAGTAACTACTCACCACAGAGCCAGTCCTCCTGGGGGGAAAAGCAGTCTCCCATTTGGACTTCTGTGTCAACTTCCCCTGTGTAACTTCCCCTGGTTTCTCCTTTCCTTGTCCCCTCACTGGACAGGTATCCCTGGTGGCCACCCCCCTTTCCCTGGAGACCAAACCCCACTGCCCAGCCCTTAGCTCTGCCCCCACCCCTTCCCCTTATTCAGCTGCCTGCTCCACGTGGTTGCTCTCTTTTACCTTGCCGGGTTCCCTTCAGCGGTGGGTGTTGAGTGAGGGACTGAAGGTTAACTCAATTTGCTTTTGCTTTTCTACAGGAGAGGCTTGTGGGGGACAGATTATAGGCAGCAGCAGCCACTACTCCAACACCCACATTTTTAGTGATACAACCTCCTCCTCCTCTTTTGACAGGAGGTAAACACATTCATGTGATAGGGACCTCGCTTTTGCTCACCTGGAGCAAAAGTCTGGGGAGTGACCTCTGCTTTAAAATGGCTGTAAAAATAATTTCCTTCTTTTCCTATGAGAGAAATAGAAGCATCTAAAGCCATTAATTTGTTAAGTCTCTCATGGCACTGGGAACAGAGACAAAAGTTTTTGGCGATCCCTTGGGATTTTCTTTTCAGCGCCTCTCCTCATTTTTCCATCTCACTTTGATGGACATTTTCACTGGCTCAAGAATCTAAAGCAATTCCAGACAGATCAATTCCAGCTATTTTTAAAAGCTTGACTGTCTATGCTAGTGTCTCCTCTCATATATTTGACTTGGCTTGTAATGAAAAATATATGTGCTTTTGTGAATAAAAAAGTCCAGAGCTTGTGGGGAACATTAAAAACACACCAAAGGATTGACTGGCTAAACTTCATGCTAGAAAATAATTTCATACTTATTGCTTACTGTTATGGTCTCAGCATTTTAGAAGACAAGTCATGATATTTTTCTCTTATTTGTTTGGGCCTGCGATGGCTAAATTTTTATTTGTGTGCAAATAGTGTATTTCAAAGTCAGCAATCATTCAGTGAAAGGGAAGTCTTTAATACATGCAAATCATTTTGCTAGAGTTGAGGATGAAGCCTTCCATGCTGGTGTAACTCCTGTTGCACTTCTCTTTCCTAGGGGGTTCTTAATCCCATGCAGGGCTTTCTCTTCACATTAGCTTTCTATGGCTGGACAGGATGGAGAGTGGACCTGAAATGGCGAAAAAGAGAAATACCCTGGGAATCTATGTCCTCATCAACTGTGGGGGAAAATGCCTATCCCTCACCAGTGAACTACCAAAGCAGCATCCATGATTCCAAGAAGATCTCAACGACTGACAGCCAGCAGACTGATGAGGCCATATGCATGTTGTCTGAAGGTAACACCAGCAGTGATGAAAGATTAACCAGAAGCTCTCCCATCTACCAGGGCTGGTAGTTTCTTTGTGCAGAGCTGGATCTAACTTTTCCTGGATCTAACTTTTCACATCGTCAATACTCACAAAACCACGTCAATGTGTGAATCATTGCATACTCTGGAATTAGGTTTGTGCTCAATGGCTTGATGTAATTTCCTGTAACTTGTGACACTGTGTGAGAGAGCGTGTGAGACAGAGAGATATGGTCTATGTCTTCATTTGCCTTCTAGGAGAGATGTAAACAGGTATAAAGGCTTGAACCTTTTTCAGCAGGAGTATATCTCTACAATGATATTTGTTACTTATGATTTTCACGTTCATTTTCTTTTAATCTCTCTTGTAACCTCCTTATGGTAGAAAAGTCTTTTGTTTTAATAAATGGACTATTCATATGTTGGGTTTTTAAATGTGTTGCCTTGCTTGTCTTGCTCAGCATAAAATTCCTCACCCAGAATTACAGCTCTAGGATTTCTGAGGCACCATCATTTCCAGCCTTTGCAGTCTGGTAAAGCATTAGTGACAGCAGACTATAACTTTATTTCCTGTTTGTGTTGACTCCACTGACATAGTCTTCTTTTTGCTTGTGTATGTGAATTTTTGGTGTGGTGTTATCTAGGGAGCTGAAAAGCTTTATTAAAAAAAAAATTGAGCCCAGCACAGGCTCCACAAACACTTCAGAACAAAGAATCCAGTTCATACCAGGTTCAAGGAAAAATAAACCCTCAAACTATTTTTTACTATGGATTCAGTCTGATCTTTATGTGTACTTACCTAACAGGACAGTGGCTGCTGGGCAGGTGCATTAAGAGAAAAGATTTACACAAAACACTTCCACTCTCTGAGTGCTCATCATAAAGCAGAAAAAGTAGAATCAATAATCCCTTCTCTGAGAAGTAGTCTGTTTTATACCTTCATGTGCTGAATGAAGAGACATTAAATCCATTTTTATCTTCTCAGACACGCCTCTTTTTGTGCAGTGCCCTAGGTACCTACATCAAAACAATTCCCGAGATTGGTTGAAAGTTAAGAATCAATGATGACCATATCTACCCTAAGCTTTTGACTTTATACTAAATATAGAAGTAATCTATCTGGTTGTGCTGGAAGCAGTTTACAGCACAGTTTGTCTGATGGCATGGTGGAAGCCCCTTGAGCCCAAGTAATCGCCCTCCTCTTCTTCAGCATGTGACCAGGCCTGGGCTTTAAATCCTGCTCACATCCACTTTGGCTGAACTTTCTTGGCTGTTTCCACTTTCATTTTCAACAGTTCAGTTTCAGCTATTGTAAAAAAAAAAAAGAAAATCATAATAGAAATTAAAGACAGCTGAATCGTTAATGCAAAAATAACATGAAACTTAACTTCCTGGGTTACTCAGGGAAGCCTCAGGAAGGTTAGAAATTCAAGATCAGCAGAAACAATACTGAAAAATATTGATTGGCTAATTAAAATCAATCAGCTTCTGGAGCCAATTGTTTGATACAAAGGTGTTAAACAATGGTTAGATAACTATTTAGGCAGATCATTACAGAGCTGTGCTTGGTTTGTAGCAAGTCTTTTTCATTGTGCCCTTTGGAAACCTTTGTGGCTTTATGGCTTTTTATTGCTGCTCTCCTTGTCAGAACTACTGGCAGATCATCAGATCCTTTATTTTAGTCATAGTCATTTGTTACCTACCAAACTATGAAGAGACAGCACACTTATGAGCAGATTATACTGAGCCTTTTGAAACAGAGACCATTTTTCAGTGCAATACTCATATCACAACTGGGGTCAAAAGAGCAGGAAAAAGGTGGAGGTGGATTTGTTTGTAAACCTTTTCATATGCTGTGGTGTGGACCAAGCTGCAAAACCTTAAACCACAATAAACAGTCTCTGGCTTAACTGGAATAATTATGAGGCACGAAAGCACTTGGGAGGTGACAGGCTGTAGCAGGAGGCCCTGTGAGATGACTGAATGGCTAATTCCTCCCTCCCTTCACTGCTCCAGGGCATTCTGTGGGATAGGGACAGATGGCTTTGTCCCTGTCCCACACAGGGGCTGTGTGGCTGTGAGCAGCTCCTGAGCAGTGCCAGGTGGCTGCTGGCACTGGAGAACTCCAGTTCTGGGACAGACTTCTGCAAGGGCCAGGCTTTGCTCCTCTCCTTTTCTTGTTCTTTCAAGGTTGTTGGGGTGAGTATGGTGTGTCTGTGTGTCAGTTATCTATGAGATGTCATCAGGAAAAAATATAACTCATCTGAGAGCCTAAGAAAGAAAAGTGACCTAATTTTGATGTATCTAGAAATTGATAAGGGGCATTGCAGAGTTCACTGACAGTAGATTTTGACTTATAAAAGAAGTGTGTGTGTGTGAGGATCTCCTTACCTGCTGTTCCTAGCCTCCAGTGGATGTACAGGAGGCATTCCTTTACAGCTTAAAATTGGATGATAATTGATTCTATTCATGTGTAACCGTGACCACATTTGATTTCACCTTACACAAATCTTGTTCTTGCTTCACTATTCTATAAATCAGTCAAAGAATTGCCGTCTTCAAGGATTTCAGCAGACGCCCCCGCCTTCCTACCAGGAATATATTTTTGGAGTCCATCTCCTGATTGTCCCCACTTCATGTGCTTGCTGCATGCATGTGAGGGAGCAGCCACAGGCCACCAGAGCCAGCTTCATGTTGAGGGAACCAGTGTCCTCCAAGGGTCAGCAAGGACAAACTACAGACACCACATCCTGGACAGCACAGCTCTGACACCAACACAACCACTGCCCTCTTAAGTCTGCCACCCACTGCTGAGAAACCCTTGTGCTTATCAGCACACAGAAACACATCCTAGCTTTCATTCTGATGATGATTTGTATCTGCTCAGCTGTCATGAGGTGAGTGTGGGAAGTGCTTGTCTCTGGTCTGCATATTTGTTTTCCAAGATGAGTTTCAAATGTGGCTTGGGTTAACAAGTGACAGCTCTCAGTACTGGAGTCCATTGGTGCAGTCAGTCTGGGGTCTTCATCTGGCACTGTGGCAGGGACTCACTTCCAGTCACCCAGCTCTTCCCTCCTTGAGCAGGAGGGCAGCTGCTCCTCTGGAACAGCAAGGTGTGACTCAGAGAAGTAAACAGAAGTAAAACTGGATCAGATACTGTCTAATAAAATATATGTAGCTAAAGTGTTGTTTGATGAGTACAGCAGTTGTCAACTATAGCTTCTTGTACTTTGGGTGTATTAGAGCTTTAATAAAATACTAATTAAAGCCTTCCTGAATTTATCAAAGGGATAAAACATTAATTAGAATAAAAAGGTAGTTGAATCCATGCACTGAAATATAATTAGTGTAGTTGAATCACATAGAGAGGATATCTATACATACAGGGTGGTATTGCCTCTATTAAACACTTCCCTGGCCTCGCAGTCAGCTTATCAAATCCAACCACACACAGCAAGTTCTCTCTGTATTCACCAGCACGTATTTTTAAGCACTCTGTATTTGAACTCCCAGCCTCATACATTTAATTACTATTTTATTTGGCCAGATGCTCAGGCTAATTGCAAAGCTGAAATATGAGCCCTAATAAAATAATAAACAATGTGAATAGGCAGATTTCTTGCATACCACAGTTCTGCATTTATGAGGTGCGCCACATGTCTGAGTAACAAAATCCTAACTACATCTCTCACTAAGCCCTTCTTGTAGACCAAATACATGGAGCTAGAAAGTGAAATGTTAAATGTGATCCCCCATCCCTTGGATAACCACACTTGACTTATACTTTAGTGTTTCCCACTGTGTAGCCATGATAATAAGTTATCTGATCTGCAAAAATGTTTTAAATTTTTATGGAATCTCAAGTTTACAGTAATCCCAGAGGAAGATCACTAAACCACATGGTAGTTGACATAAGACAGGTCAGATGATGTCTGGTTATTAATTTTTTAAGGAAAAGACAGGCACATGTGTGAACATTGAAACTGGCAGCTGAAGAATGCAATCTTACTGAAAGGAAAGCAGGGAATGAGGTGCAGTCCAGGAATGCAGGCATGAATCTGTTTTCCTGGTTAATATTCCCTGGTTAATAGGATGTGCTGTGAGCTGTATGGAAAGCTGGTTCTCTTACTGCACCTTTCTAAGCAAACTCTTAATCATTCAGGACACTAAAGTCACATGGGGTTTGTAGGTAAAGTTTTCAAAAGGGTGAGAAAATTCGAGCATGCACCTAAAGGGAAACCATTCAGTGATGAAAGAGATGGCATGACTTTTTGCTGCTCCAGTTTCATACATTCATCACATTTTGGGGTAGCAAGAAGCTTATGAAGCTTTCAGGCTTCTCCATAGGGGACATTTGAGTCCTTGCTAAGCCAGTGGCTGGAGATGAGAAGCCTGGCAAGGTGGTGGCCACTATTGCCCTGGGCTCTGTCCTGTGGCATTTGGCAGTACCGAGGTCACCGTGGGTCTCTGTGCCCTGGTGTCACGTTGGGATGAGATTCTGCCCTCAATTCTATGGGTAGGAAATTGGGTCTTAAGTGGGGGAGATGAGCTGTGGGGGATTGAGATGTGTTCCTTCCTCTGGAGAGTGGAACAGTGACAAGTCTGTTAATAAAGACAACCTTTGTTAATGAAACCTTGTCCTATCCTAGTTTTTCACCAGCTTTTCCATAGCTGAGAGGGACTCAGAAGGTAAATGGAGGTCTTGGATCCTCGCCCTTCAGTTGGCGCCACAGAGGTACCCACCCACTTGGGCATCTGTGAACCTCCTGGAAAGTCTTGAGAACGTGGAGAACTGAACACACTGTGGGTGTTACTGTGCTTACTGAAAAAGGCACCTTTTAAAGACATGGGAGTAAAACAGCATGGTGGGGTTGGTTTTGTGTGAGGAACCAGCTGTGTTGGGTGGGGCGTCCTTGCAGCATCCTCCCCCCTCAGAGGGCACCAAGACTCAGGACAGCATGAAAACACTGGCAGCCATTCATTGCAGCTGTAGCCACATGATAGCATCTGCTCCTGGTTTGCTGCTACAGCAGATCTTGAGTGAATTT